TATATATATATATATATATATATATATATATATATATTATTTATATTTATATATTAAAATATAAAAATATAAATAAACCAGAGAGATTATTGAGTGTATGTATGTGTATGTATGTTGCTGCAGTTCGTGCTGCTCTCCCTCACCTGCGTGTGTCTTTGGGTGTTTATTTTAATTTTTATTTGTCTTTGTCTTCGCCTCATTTTGGTTTTATAAACAGCAGCAGCAAACTCGTTTCTCTCGGTTTGTGGCTCATTAAAAAATGGAGAAGAAGCCTTTGTCTCCAGCAACTCACGCTGTCGTTAGTTCTTCTGCTGCTGCTGCTGCTCCTGCTGCTGCTGCTGCTGCTGCTCCTGCTGCTGCTGCTGCTGGGGCTGATGCTGGGGTTGATGCTGCTGCTGGGGGTGATGCTGCTGCTGCTGCTGGGGGTGATGCGGCTGCTGCTGCTGCTGCTGCTGCTGGGGCTGATGTTTCTGCTGCTGCTGCTGCTGCTGCTGATGATGACGCTGTTGTTGCTGCTGCTGCTGCTGCTGCTGCTGCTGCAGGGACAGCCGAGACGTGCGTCGTTGTTTGCTGTATCGATTGAGCTGCTGCGACGCTCTGAAAGAATTTAAATATATTTGTTTTGTGGGGTCTCACCAAGACACCTACGCGCCCCTTCACTCTGCCTCCATGCTGCCGCTGCTGCAGCAGCAGCAGCAGCAGCAGCAACCACCTGCAGCTGCAGCAGCAGCAGCAGCAGTGGGAGCTGCAGCTGCAGCAGCAGCAGCAGCAGCAGAAACAGGTCTACCGCCTACACGGGTTCTAACGGCTGCCCAGGGGGCCGCATGCAGCAGCAGCAGCACCAACAACAGCAGCAGCAGCAGCAGCAGCAGCAGCAGCAGCAGGAAGAAGCAGGTTGATGAGCTGCCTGGTGCTGTCTCCTCTGTGTCTTTGGAGGAGACACTGAATCGGGTGTATTCTGTGTTGGAGACAGAAGCAGCAAAAGGAGACAGTTGTGCTGCAGCAGCAGCAGCAGCAGCAGCAGCAGCAGCAGCAGCAAACAGCAGCAAGCAACCTCCTGTCTCCCGCTGCAACGAAAGAAGAGACACCTCCCCCCACAACTCAGACAGCAGCAGCAGCAGCAGCAGCAGCAACAGCAGCAGCAGCAGCAGCAGCAGCGTCACGTGGAGCGAAGACGGGAGAGAGGAGACACCTAGAGATAATGCAGCAGCAGCAGCAGAAGAAGACAAGCAGCAGCAGCAGCAGCAACAGCTACACAACAAGTACACAACACCACCTGCCTATACACCCAAATACTGCTGCTGCCTATACACCCCAACAAACCAACAAACACAACAATTTATACACAGAAACACACACTGTCTCCTTTTTGTCTCCTTTCTGTCTCCTTTCTGTCTCCTTTCTGTCTCCTTTCAGTCTCCTTTCTCCGCCATATCTCCCTCTCTCCTTTCTTTCTCTCCTTCTCCTCCTCTTTGTCTTTGTCTTTGTCTTTATAAATAAATAAAATGCTGTGGGGTGTGGGGTGTGGGGTGTCTCCGTTTCTAGGTCTCTCCCGCTGCTGGACCTTCTTTACCGAAACGTCTCCTTTTGGTTGCCGCAACAAAAAGTTTTGCGCCTCAATGTGCATTTCAAAATCAGAGAAAGGTAAACTTTTTCTGTCTCCTTTTGTCTCTTTTTGTCTCTTTTTGTCTCCTTTTTGTCTCTTTTTTGTCTCCCTTTTGTCTCCTTTTTTTTCTCTTTTTTGTCTCCTTTTTTGTCTCTTTTCTGTCTCCTTTTTGTTTCTTTTTTGTCTCTTTTTTTGTCTCTTTTTTTGTCTCCTTTTTGTCTTCTTTTTGTCTCCTTTTCGTCTCCTTTTTGTCTCCTTTTGGTCTCCTTCTTTGTCTCCTTTTTGTCTCCTTTTGTCTCCTTTTATCTCCTTCTGTCTCCTTCTGTCTTCTTTTGTCCCCTTTTTGTCTCCTTTTGTCTCCTTTTATATCCTTTTGTCTCCTTTTTGTTTCTTGTTTGTCTCATTTTGGTCTCCTTTTTGTTTCTTTTTTTGTCTCCTTTTGGTCTCCTTTTTGTCTCATTTTTGTCTCTTTTTTGTCTCCTTTTTGTCTCTTTTTTGTCTCTTTTTTGTTTCTTTTTTGTCTTCGCTTTGTCTCCCTTTTGTTTCCTTTTTGGCTCCCTTTTACTTGTCTCTTTTTTGTCTCTTTTTTATCTCCCTTTTGTCTCCTTTTGTCTCCTTTTGTCTCCTTTTATCTCCTTTTGTCTCCTTCTGTCTCCTTCTGTCTCCTTCTGTCTCCTTTTGTCTCTTTTTTTGTCTCCTTTTATCTCCTTCTGTCTCCTTTTGTCTCCTCTTATCTCCTTTTTGTCTCCTTGTATCTCCTTCTGTCTCCTTTTGTCTCCTTTTGTCTCCTTTTTTTTTTTTTTTAGGTCTTTAGATTCTTTTATAGGGCGAGCTGCACACATCCAGTTTCTAGAAAACGAAACTTTTATGCGCCTTTTGTTTATCTCAAACCCTAATTTATTCAGCTAACCCTAAACCCTAAACCCTAAACCCTAAACCCTAAACCCTAAAACCTAATGGGGTGAGATGCAGTGAAGGGGAGATGACGGACACGTTAATATTGTTTATGTATATATATATATATATAT